TAACCCTAACCCTAACCCTAACCCTAACCCTAACCCTAACCCTAACCCTAACCCTAACTTTAACCCTAACCCTAACCCTAACCCTAACCCTAACCCTAACCCTAACCCTAACCCTAACCCTAACCCTAACCCTAACCCTAACCCTAACCCTAACCCTAACCCTAACCCTAACCCTAACCCTAACCCTAACCCTAACCCTAACCCTAACCCTAACCCTAACCCTAACCCTAACCCTAACCCTAACCCTAACCCTAACCCTAACCCTAACCCTAACCCTAACCCTAACCCTAACCCTAACCCTAACCCTAACCCTAACCCTAACCCTAACCCTAACCCTAACCCTAACCCTAACCCTAACCCTAACCCTAACCCTAACCCTAACCCTAACCCTAACCCTAACCCTAACCCTAACCCTAACCCTAACCCTAACCCTAACCCTAACCCTAACCCTAACCCTAACCCTAACCCTAACCCTAACCCTAACCCTAACCCTAACCTTAACCTAACCCTAACCCTAACCCTAACCCTAACCCTAACCCTAACCCTAACCCTAACCCTAACCCTAACCCTAACCCTAACCCTAACCCTAACCCTAACCCTAACCCTAACCCTAACCCTAACCCTAACCCTAACCCTAACCCTAACCCTAACCCTAACCCTAACCCTAACCCTAACCCTAACCCTAACCCTAACCCTAACCCTAACCCTAACCCTAACCCTAACCCTAACCCTAACCCTAACCCTAACCCTAACCCTAACCCTAACCCTAACCCTAACCCTAACCCTAACCCTAACCCTAACCCTAACCCTAACCCTAACCCTAACCCTAACCCTAACCCTAACCCTAACCCTAACCCTAACCCTAACCCTAACCCTAACCCTAACCCTAACCCTAACCCTAACCCTAACCCTAACCCTAACCCTAACCCTAACCCTAACCCTAACCCTAACCCTAACCCTAACCCTAACCCTAACCCTAACCCTAACCCTAACCCTAACCCTGACGCTAGCCCTAACCCTAACCCTAACGCTAACCCTAACCCTAACCCTAACCCTAACCCTAACCCTAACCCTAACCGTAACCCTAACCCTAACCCTAACCCTAACCGTAGCCCTGGCCCTAACCCTAGCCCTAACCCTAAGCCTAACCCTAACCCTAACCCTAACCCTAACCCTAACCCTAACCCTAACCCTAACCGTAACCCTAACCCTAATGCTAACCCTAACCCTAACCCTAACCCTAACCCGAAACCTAACCCTAACCCTAACCCTAACCCTAACCCTAACCCTAACCCTAACCCTAACCCTGACCCTAACCCGAACCCTAACCCTAACCCTAACCCTAAGCCTAAGCCTAACCCTAACCCTAACCCTAACCCTAACCCTAACCCTAACCCTAACCCTAACCCTAACCCTAACCCTAACCCTAACCCTAACCCTAACCCTAACCCTAACCCTAACCCTAACCCTAACCCTAACCCTAACCCTAACCCTAACCCTAACCCTAACCCTAACCCTAACCCTAACCCTAACCCTAACCCTAACCCTAACCCTAACCCTAACCCTAACCCTAACCCTAACCCTAACCCTAACCCTAACCCTAACCCTAACCCTAACCCTAACCCTAACCCTAACCCTAACCCTAACCCTAACCCTAACCCTAACCCTAACCCTAACCCTAACCCTAACCCTAACCCTAACCCTAACCCTAACCCTAACCCTAACCCTAACCCTAACCCTAACCCTAACCCTAACCCTAACCCTAACCCTAACCCTAACCCTAACCCTAACCCTAACCCTAACCCTAACCTCTACCCTAACCCTGACCCTAACCTCTACCCTAACTCCAGCCTAACTCCAGCCTAACTCCAGCCTAACTCCAGCCTAACTCCAGCCTAACTCCAGCCTAACTCTTATATATAAGAGCTGCAGCTCCTAATAGGAGCTACTAGTCTCCGGCTTAAGAGCTGCAGATCCTATGGCAAAGACAAGTAGCTCCTAAGTCAAGAGCTGCAGCTCCTATTGGTCAGAGAGTTGCAGCTCCTGTGGCCTAACACAGTGTAGCTTTCGGGGGTCGGAAAACCGCGCTAAGAAACGGTCCGTTCCCCAGTGTGGCAGTCGCCCCTCGCCTCTTCGCTTCTGCCGCCGCGTGCGCGCCCAAGGGGTTGCGAGGGGCCAATCCGCGCTAGGGGATTGCAGGTCTGCCATCACTCCGGCCTCGCGAACCGACCCGGAACCTCGAGGCGCCTTCCGGACGGAGCCACCACGGCTCGAGGCCCTTTAAAACTGGCGCCGGATTGCCACGCGCGGCCAAAATCAGGTGCGCGTCGCACACCCCTATCTTCGTGCTCGCGGTAGCCGTTCGCACCCAATCAACAATATATCCAGCCCTAAGAACTCACCTCGCCCTACAGACCCCCTAATCACCCACCCAGCGGCCCGCATCTCGCCCCAAAGCCGCTTACGTGCATGTACTGCCCCCTCCCCTCGCACCCAGAGTTTTAGTCGGCGTGGGCTGTAGCCGTGGTCGAGATGATCACAGTGGACACGGAAGAGCACCTTTCCGGCGGAGAGGCGCGCTGTCTGACCCCGAGCCACAGCTCTCCCGCAGAGAGACGATGTCGACCCGCTGGCGGATGAAGCCGGCCGGCAGCACGTCGGTGTCGCCGTCGTCAAAGTGGACACGGAAGCCGGTCGTTCCCCTCTTCGTCTGCACGACCTTCGTCACGTAGCCTGGGTACCACCTCGCCTGTTTTTTATATCGGGCATCGACGCGGGCGCCAGGGGCAAAGGCGGCGTCCTCTGCCAGCGCGTCGTCGTCCGAGGTCGCATCAAGTGGTGGCGGCGCTGGAGCTTCGTCCTTGTAGGCAGCGAGGTCCTCCCCGTTGTAGCACCACACGATCTCGGCCGTCTGGGCCGTCTCAGGGTCATTGGTCGACTCGCTCTCAATGAAGCACCGGAAGAGAACTGCAGGGCGGACGCCAGCTGCGAGGGGGCGAGCGGGGCGACTCAGAGCTGGGAGGGCACCATACGCAGCGCCTCGCCGCACTCGCTGCGCAGCGAGGGTGTGTGCAGCTCCACACTAACTGCGCGCGCGCCGGGAGGCAATGGCGCGCGCGTACCGGCGCCATTGGGCATACTGTACGCGACCTCGTAATAGCGGTCCGCGCCGTACCGAAGGGCCTGCCCGTTGTTACGACGCGACACCGCGTTCTCGCCCACGCGGCCCAGCAGGCGCCTGGCAGGCGCCGCTGGCATCCCCAGCAATTCGCAATAAAACCACCCCCGCCTCAACCCGCTTAGGGACGGACGCATTTCCCCCCTTTCAAAGGCGGTTTCGAAGTTGATGAGACCTCGTCCCCCCCTCTCCAATGAAAAGCGTAAAAAGAGGCGCGGAACAGGCCGGAAGCGCCAGGCGCCGGCGGCCGTCATCAGGTGCATGACCATGCGGTCGCGGCATGCCGCATCAATCTTGCCGCGCCCGGCCAGCTCGTTCGCGAGCCAGTCCGGGGCGACCGTCGTCGCCACGGTCCCCTGGGGAACTGTGGCGTACACCTTGCTGGGGCCGCGTCGATACCCGTCGTCCCTCTCCGGGGGCAGCGAGTATTCGACTCCTATTTTGGACCCGGCCTGGCTGCGCGCCTGCGCAGCTGCAGACCGCAGCCCGGCCATCACGTACTCGATGTTCTCGCGCAGCTGCGCGCGCGGGCGCTCCGCGTTCTCGGCCTCGTTCGCGGCGCGCTCGCCAGCCTCCTTCGCCCGGCGCTCCTTCTGCCGGATCTTCTTGGCCTTGCGTGACGCGGTTCGAGCCGCGAGCTGCTCATCAGTGAGCTCCTTCTTCTTCGGCGCGGTGCGCTCGATGTACGAGCGCTCCGCCACCTTCACCGACTCGCGGTCGCCCGCGGCCTTCTCGTGCTTCAGGTCGACCTCGATGGTCGCGTAGCCAGGCCTTATCAGCCTGACACACGATGCACCGAACAACCGTGCGACACCCACCGCGTCCTCCAGTTGCGCGCGATCGGAGCGATTCCAGGGTCCGCTGCGCATCCCCGGCAGTACGACGGTGGCCGGCGCTTGCGCGCCAGCCCCGTCCGCCACCGGGTCCGCGGCCGCGGTCCCTGTCATAGCTACGCGCGCCATGGATCGGCGGTTACACCACTGTTTCAATGGGCTTCCAGTGGTTGCGTTTACTAATGGAAACCTCCTGAAACTTCAACAACTCCCAAGGAGGTTTGTGTCCCAACTCGCCATAGGCTGGGAATGGGGCGTGCGGCGGAAGAAGCCTTGTCAACGGTTGATCCTTAGAAGCTCCACGACGGGCCTGATGGGCCTGATGAGCCTGGAGGCCTAAGGGGCCTGATCGCCTAGACAGCCTAGCCCTAACCCTAACCCTAACCCTAACCCTAACCCTTCTTTTCCTTCCGGCGAAACTCATCTATCTGCGCAGGCTGTCCGATTGGCGCCTCGCCTTCTCCCGCCAGTACTCACCCGGACTCACCTCGCCCACCGGCGCCGCCGACCAGGGTGCGGCGTGCGCGAGCGAGGGCGCGAGGCAGCTGACGAGGGAGTGGGCGATGGCCCCAAAACCCGCCCACCGCTCCTCCCAGCGCGCGGCCTCGACGAGTCGCAAGGTGTGCTCCCTCTGCAGTCGCATCTTTTCGCGCTGCAGAAGCTCGCGCTGCCGCTCCCGCCGCGCTGCCTTGCGACGCGGTGGTGGCGGAGCGAGGGCGCTGGCGGACGCCGAGACGGGCGCCGCCCGCTCGACGAGGCGCGCGATCGCTCGGCTCGCCTCCTCCGCGGGCCGGTTGCAGATCTCGAGCGGCGCGCCGCCCAGCTGCGACAGGAAGTCGGCCACGGCTGGTCCCGATCCAGCGAGGTATTCGGAGGCGGAGGTGGTCAGCAGGTCGGCATGGGTGAGCACGAGGAGCGAGGAGCGGGCGAACCGCGGGCCAAACACCTGTCGGAGGCTGTCGAACGCCTCGACGACCGGCCCGTCCACGCGGGCTGCGATACTCGCGACGAGCAGGATGGCGAAGCGGGCGCCAGGGTGCTCGGCCGCAATCAAGGCGACGCCGCGAGTGATCTCTGCGTGGATGGCCTCGACGGACGTCTCCGGGTCGGAGAGGCCCGGCGTGTCCACGAGGATGACCTCGCGGCCGGAGCAGTGCGTTGAGGCGAATTCGCAGGCCGTCGTCACCGCTCGCGCGGCTCGGCCCGCTGCAAAGCTCTGGCTCGCGAGGAGGGTGTTGCCGGTGCTGGACTTGCCGGCGCCGCACGGGCCGCAGAGCACGAGCACGAGCGGAGGATCGGCGGTCCTAGCAGGCGTCATCGATCGATCGGTTGGTGGGCTCCACACAGGGCTATCGCCCAATTCTTTTTTCTGGGGAGAGTACCCATTCGGTGCTGGTAGCGACCTAACGCTGCTTCAACAAGCAGCGTTAGGTCGCTCTCGTCACGGTCGGGCGTGCGAGGCTCCTGTGCCTCCGGTGCAGCCGATGCTCAGCCCTCTCCCACCGTCGCGGCTCGCCCGTCACCTCGCCTCTCCGCAGGGTCATCTCTCGCGCCGTCTGCATCTCTCTGCCGGTCGCCAGCATCCGCGCCACCGACTAGCTGCACCGCCACTCGCGACGCGCCACCCTCGCTCACAGCCTGCATACGCGCTACTCCCGGGCACCGCCATCGACTTCGCACTCAAGCTCGTGGAGAGGCGCACGCTCGGCGGTAGTCGGTGGCGGCGGGGTCAGCGATGACGAGCGTGCGGCACATCCCTTAGGTGGTCGAGGGGCCGGAGGCCGCTGCGGCGGTGGGCGCGCCGATGGTCTTGCCGCGGAACGCAGCCGCCTTGCTCTGACCAAGGAGAGGCGTTGGCTGTGGCGGACCGCGCTGCATCATCCCCACTGCATCCCAGCCCCATCGAAAGCGCAGAGTACAAAGTTCGGCTCGCGACACATGGATCGCCCCACGTCGCGCTTCATGACATGGCTCGAAGACGCACGCATTGCGGGGCCGGCCGCTGCGCTGCATTGGGTCAACCAGCCGATGGAGGCGAAGCTGACCCGGCTCGAGATGCAGGGCACGCGACTGATTGAGCTCGAAACCGAAAAACTGGTCCAGCAAGATTCGAGATCAGGAAATCAGGCGCGTCAGCTTTACGTGGCGAGGCTCAAAAAGAACGTGCACGATTTCAAATCGCTGCCCATCGGCAACTACAACAGGGAAATTGACGAGCGTATGATCCTGCTCAGTGATGTATCTGGTACTGTCAAGCCAGAGTGGTTGACAACACCAATGCAAAAGAAGCTGGAGGAGAGGGCACCGCAGAGCACGATTCGACAACCATTCGCGGCGCCCAACCACTTCGGCTTGATTTCGGGCAGGCCGGAACATCCACTGCCATGCCTGCTGCAGCGCCGGCTGCGGCGGAGGTAGAGGAGGAGGAGGAGGGCGAGGGCGAGGCCACGGTCCTGAGACCCTCGCTGTCAGAGAGCGATGGAGAGAGCGAGGAAGAGTCTCCGCAACCGGTCGACGGCAGCCCCGTGGCAGCTCCGCTCCCGGCCGCGAAAAGGCGGCGACAATCAACCGTCAGATACGAGGCTGGGCCGGCCCAGGGCAAAGGCAAGCAGCAAGCAGCAAAGGAGAAGGGAGCCAACAGCCAGGCCGCCGCTCCCGCAGCCGCCACTTCCGCCGCTAAGCCGGGGCGCGGGCCAGGCGGCAAGCCAATGAAGTACAGGAAGAAGGACCCTGCAGCGAGGGCGCTCGAAGCTGCGGCGCGGCCTGCGGCGCGGCCTGCGGCGCAGCCTACTGCGGCGCAGCGTACTCGTTGCTCGCCCAGGAAAGGATCTGCGGCAGACGTGCAGAGTGCGCAGCTGCAAGCTGAGAATGCGGCGCTCCGCGGCGCGCGCGCGCAACTTCAAACCCTTCAGGAGCAGCTGGCGGCGGAGCAGGCGGACAGGCGGGCGGCTGAGGACGCGCGGCGGGCGGCTGAGGACGCGCGGCGGGCGGCTGAGGCGGCGGGAGCCCAGGCCAAATATGAGGCCTACAAGGAGGGTGTCACAGCTGGCTCTTGCCTTTCCAGGGGGGTTGCTCCGCCCGGTGCCGGTCCGGCGTAGATTTCGCCGAATTTTGGGCGCGTCGTGCCCTCACCACCAGAGCTTGTGGGGGGGGAGAGAGAGTGTGTGTGTCCCTCGAGACCTTCTAAAGGCATATTACTACTTGCCTGCCACCCCTGGCCCCGTCCCCGCGCCCAGAAGGGCGAGATTCCGGTCCCACTCCACCACCGCACGAAACGTGCTTCGGTCCGGGGTCCGGTTTCGACCGTCAGGGGCTACTGCGACCCCGAGGTGCCCCCGGGTCGCCCCCAAAGGCCTCCGTTAGTTGAGGAGCACTATTAGGGTGGGTCAGAGACCCTCATTTAGCCACCTCACAGGGTACCCTGAGGCTGTGGCCTCTGCACAAGATTTCGCACCATATGGTCACACGGAATGCTGTTGGAAGGGTGGGGAGCAGCCTGCCGTCGAGCGGCACGCTGCGCAAGCCCGCCGTCGGCGGCCCGATCGGAGAGCGGGTAGTCGTGGTACTATTGAGCGCGCTATCGCGCCCGAGACAGCCCGCCCTGGCCCTGTAGACCCTCCCAGAGAGTTGGCGACGCTGTACAGCATGCCCAGAGCATACTGGACAGGCTCCCGTCGAGCGACGAGCCATGCTGGCTCGCCGCCGGCGGCGAGCTCGAAGACCCGCGCCGAGCTTCGCTGAGCCTGGCGGGCCCGCCCGCACGCCCGCGGCCGCAGGCGAGGAAGGCGAGCTTCCTGGCGTTTTTGCCAAGCGCCAACATGCCAAAAGACACCTCGCAGCGCCCGAGACGTGACCAAAGCCGCTCGTCTCGGCGCCGCGAGAGCAGCCGGTCGACGTCGGCACCAAGCGCGCGGCCGCCGGGCGCCGCCGAACCGACAGGGGCGCCGTGGCAGTAGAGAGCACACTCCACCGAACCGTTTTTATGCGGGAACTATTCACACCAAAAGAAATCACCATCGCCTTGCCTCTCGCGCCTACTGCCAACGGCAAGGCTCGGCCAGAGGATGTGGCCTCGGAGACCATCCTTCACGCGCCCGAGCCGTTCCTCGCGGTCCTCCGGAGCCGCGCCCGCCGCTGGTGCACCCGCGGCGGCGGCGCCGCCGCCGCAGCCGCCCTCGCTCGTGACTCCCCAACGCAAGTCTCGCAGCCACAGCCCCTTCCCGCCGTCCTGCTCGTCCGCGACGACGCGAGGCGCAGCCTCGCTGCCGCTGCCGCTGCACTCGCCTGGCGGCCGCCTCTTTGACCCCTCCTCCCCGAGCCTGGACCCGCCGAACTCCTTCAACGGCGACGCCCGCTACGTGAGCGCCCGCTACGCGTTTGGCGCCCCCGTCCCTCGCTCTTCGCCCAGCCTCCGCCGGTCGCAGAGGCAGAGCGGTCGGTCGCCGCCGCTGCCGCTGCCGCCCCGAGCAGACGCTTCGCGGCGGAGCCTCTCCGGCAGCGGCGGCGAGGGCGGCGCGGCTCGCCCGAAGCCGTCGCTGGACGTCAAGCCGTCGCTTGACTGCTCGTTTGACACGACCTTCGACACGTCCTCCTCGTGCTCCTCGGCGTGCACCACAGCCGTCGACATGGCGGTCGCGCTCGGCACGCCCGGAGCGTGTACGCCTGGGCTGATCCCCCCAGTGCTGACCCCGGCCGGGAAGGCCGCCTGCGGGAGGGGCTCGCCGGGGACGCCCTCCTGGCTCAAGGAGGCCGAGGCGCTCGTGAGGAGCGAGGCGGGCGCGCCCCTCTCCCCCTCCGCCCCAACCACCCCGCTGCTCGCCGTGAAGCAAGACTGCCCGCCGCCGCCCTCGGTGCCCAACCCGAGCTCCGGCTTTGTCGCACGCCGCCGCTCGGTCGAGCCCGAGAGCCCGATGCGCGTGCGAGGCGCCGACGCTGCGATCCCGGCCTCCTCCCGCCCGACCGCCACTCTCGCCGTCGTGGCCCTGGCCGCGGCGGCGGCGCCCCTTCTCTGCTTTGTGGCGTGGCCGCTGCTGCGGCCGAATGAGAGCAGCGGCGCGGCGGACCTGGCGGCGAACTCTTCTGCCGGCGTCAACTCGTCTGCTGCGTGGGACCCTCTGTCGCTCGACCCTCTCTCGCTCGACCCTCCGTCGCTCGACTTGCCGGCGCGGCGGCCCGCAGATGCCGCCTCTGCTTCCTCTCCAGCCGATGCTTCCTCTCCCGCGGCCTCGGTGCGATCGCCTGCTGCTGCGGCGGAAGGCGCCCTGTCGCCCAAACCAACTCGTGTGCCGCTTGCGCCTCCGCCAGCAGCCCCGCCCCCGGCAGTCCCGCCCCCAGCAGCGCCTCCGCCGGCAGTCCCGCCCCCAGCAGCGCCTCCGCCGGCAGCCCCGTCGCCGGCGACCCCGCCGCCGCCCCCCCCGCCCAAACCGCCGCCGCCGCTCCCGCCGCCGCTGCCTTCGCCGCCTCCTCCCGCTCCTCCTCCACCGCCTCCCTCGCCGCCCTCGCCGACGCCGCCAGCGCCGCCCGCGCCCGCGCCGGTGCTCGTCGAGTTCGAGCTCGTCGACCTGCCCCTCGGCGTCGAGTTCGACGTGCGTGCTACATCTCGACCACATCTCGGCCACACATCTCGGCCACATCTCGGAGTCTATTTCGACGTGCTCTCCCGACAGCAGGCACCGCACCAGCTCGCCCCTCACCTCGCCGCCTCCACACACCGCAGTTGCTCAGCAGCCTCTCCGACTCCACCGACTCCTCCGACCCGCACGAAGGACGGCTCACGGGACGGCGCGCGCTCTGGCTGTGGGAAGCAAGCGGCGACTCCGCGCCGCCCGCGCGAGAGGCGGCTCCGGGCAGCGCAGCCCAGCGCCTCTCCGCTGCAGAGCGCCTCTCCGCGGCCGAGCTCAACCAGGCCCGCGGGCTGCAACGCGTGTCTCGCGCGGCCACGGAGCCCTAACGCCCCCCCCCCCCCCCCACCAGATGCTCCTGTCCGCGCTTCCTCACGGAGTGCCCGCCGACGCCGTGCGCTTGCTTCGCCACGACGGAGTGACTTCCGTCTTGATCGCGCCCGGGGCGACCGTCACTGCAGCCGACGTGTTGCGTGCCGTGCGGTCCGAGGCCTTCGCCGACGCGCTCAAGGTGTGACAGCAGCGGAGAGATAGCCGAGACGGCCGAGATGCAGTCGAGGCACAGCCTCCCCCTTCGCGCGCCCCCTCGCTCCACTTCGGCCCTCCTCTCCCTCTCAGGCGCACCACATGCGCGTCGCGCCTAGCCCCGCCCTAGCCCCAACCTCTCTAAACCCGAACCTCTCAGGCGCACGACATGCAGGTCGCGCGCCCCCACCTGCACCGCTTCGAGCCGCCAACGCCGCCGCAGCCGCCAGTGCCTCCACGCCCGCCGCCCCGTCCCCCCTCTCCGCTGCCGCTGCCGCCGCCGCCGCCGCCGCCACTGCCGCCGCCGCCGCCGCCGCCACCGCCACCGCCACCACTTCCACCGCCGTTGGCGCCGCCGCCACTGCCGCCGCCGCCGCCGCCGCCGCCGCAGCCCGATCCGCCGCCACCCACCCCTCCACCGCCCTCGCCTCTTCGGCCGCCTCCCTCTCCGATGCCCCCAGAGCCCTCGCCGCCGCCGCCGCCGTCTCCCTTTGCACCAGATCCTTCGCCGCCGCCGCCGCCACACCCTCCGCCCCCCTCACCTCCACCCTCCCTGCCGCCCATCTCGCCGCCGAGCTGGCCACCGCTGCCGCCCGCCTCGCCACCAGCCGCTCCAGCCGCAGTGGTAGCTGCGCTGCTCTGGCGCCGGCCCACCGTTGCGATGCTCGCCCTGGCGGCCGCAGTGGCTGCAGCGACCGCAGGCCTCCTCTTCTCGGCCGCCAAGGCTACCAAGCCGGGTGTGGCCCAGCGGGGCTACGCGCAGATGCAGGACGAGGACGACGGCCACGACGACTTCGCCGCGGCGGCGGCTGCCTCGCCGGCACCCCACGGGCAGGCCGAAGCCCCAGAGATGCGAAGCGCGCCGCCACGACTCCAACGCAGCCGCAGAGAGAGAGCGGTCCTGGCCAGCGCACAGCCGCCGGGGCGACTTCGCGTGGCGGTAGCGCTCGAACGATTGCGTCAAGCGCGCCAAGCGCATGCGCTGGCGAGCCAGCCGCCCGTCGCCGCCGCTGCCGCAGCCTCGTCCGACGAGCCTGAGGCTGACATCGAGATGGGTGTTCGCCCCGGCGGCGGCGGCGGAGGCGACGCTTCCGGCTCTGACAACGACAACGGCAAAGTCGCCGTCGCCCGGCTGCTGGCGCCGCCCTCTCTGACTGGGCCCCTGCCTGGCGGCGGCGGGCCGGCGCAGCCTCGCCGTGCGGCGCCGGCCACCGACGACGCGGCAGTCTCCCCCAGCTCGGAGGCGTCTCCCTCGGAGGCGTCTCCCTCGGAGGCGTCCGAGGAAGGCCAGGCGGCAGTCACACTGCCCACGCGGCGACCGTCCAGCGGCGAGGTGCTCGACGAGCCGGCAGCCAAGCGGGCCATGCTCGCAGCACCCTCCCGCGCACCAGACAGCGAGTCGGCCCGTTCTCTCCTCGCCTCGCCGCAGCCGCCGACGACGCCGTCCGGGCTGCAGGGGCAGGGAAGGCTGTCCAACGCCAGCTCGTGCGGAAGCGCAAAGTCTCGCAACGAGATGATGGCGATGATCCAAGAGGCGAGAGGGTCGCCGCCCCCCCCCCCCCCCCTCCCTCCCCTCCCCTCACCCTGCCACCTCGGACTGACGCAGGCGGCCGAGGCGCAGCAGGCGCGCGATGCGGCGGCCGCAGCGGAGGCGGCGGCGCAGGTGGAGTCCCTGACTACCGCCTTTCGTCTCCTCTCCACGCCGTCTTCCGCGTCCGCGCCGTCGGCAAGCGCTGACGACCTCTCGCCCGCCCCCGCCGCCTCGTCTCGCGTGGACGAAGAGCCGTCGCCGGCCCCGTCAGGGGAGGAGGGCGAGTCGAGCTCCGCCGCGGCGGCGGCAGGCTCGTCGCCCTTGGTCGATTTCGCCAAGTCCCCGCCTCTGTGCGCCGGCGCATCCAACCCAAGCCCCCTCTCGGAGGCGGAGACGCTGCTCAGCCCCGAGGCTGCGGAAGCGGAGGCGAGGTGCGGCGAGGGCGAGGGTGGCGGGGACGAGGAGCCTCCCTCGAGCGGCGCGTCCAAGGCCTTCCCCTCGGAGAGGCGCTCGCTCTACTCGCCGCCCTACTCCGAGTACAAGCCGCCCTCGCCCCAGCTGTCGCGCGAGGAGGGCGAGGCGGCGCTGCGCCAGCTTCTTCGCGAGGACTTTGACGAGCCGCAGCTGGAGAAGCTGCGGACCGAGCTCCAGTGGCTGCAGCGGCGGGAGGCGAGTGTACGCCGCGGTCCGCTCCCGCCCCTAGCTCCCCACTGAGTGCCGCCCCTCTGCGCAGGCTGAGCTGCTCGCTGCTGGGCCGCTGCCATCGCTCGGCTGCATCCCCGCCTTCCCGCCAGTTGGGCGCGTGCCGGCGGCGAGTGTGCCGGTGCGCGAACCTGTCGAGCTCCGCGACGCCGGGTCGAGCTCATGATTGGCTGGAAAATTGACTAGGCTCTCGAGCTTCTCGACGCGGCGTCCAGCGAGGTCCCACCCCGCCCAGGCCCGCACCCCGCCGCCCACGCAGTTGGGCCGACTGACCCGCGCTGTCTCTCGACAGGAGCTTTCCGCCGTGCGGCTTCGCATCCGCATCTTTTCGGAGGAGCTGCCACAGCTAGCCGAGACCCCGCCCGCGTCGCCGTCGTATGTGCCTTTCGGCAGCATGGGCAGCGGCGGCAACGAGAATAGCAGCAACAACGCCGGCTACGTCCCCTTTCCCGGCTGATGATGGGGGGGCAGATGGCCCGCCCCTGCCCGCATCAAACTGCAAGCCGGAGGCCGACAACATCAGGGAGAGAACAGAGATAGATTGCCATGAATCATGCGATGAGAGACAGAGAGAAGGCCTGGGGAGTCAGACACAGAGAGAGTCAGTGAAAGATTTAGATGCCCGTCCGAGCCGCGGCCGGCGGACCCTGCGCGGGGTAACGCCAGCGGATTTCCCAGACTTACACGCGCCACACGCCCCCCATGTATGTGCCATGTCCGCAGGGGGGGGGCAGAGATCCGCGGAGTCAGTTTTACTTCAGTCTTCAAAGTAAAAAAGGAACTACATTTAATCCGCTCTCCATACTCCAAGTACCAAGAGTGCTCCGAGCGTTCTTGTCAGGAGGGCCCTGGCCTCCGATCGCGATCGTACACTACATGCACTACAGCAGCGGCCGGAAGCGGCGGCGTGGCGCCCTCGCGCGGCGGAAGCGAGGTCCGTCACGCCCGCTTCAGCCGAGTGAGAGCGGCGCCAATCAGGACCCCGGTCCCGACGGCCGCGGCCAGCGCAGCCCCGAACGCCGCGAGCGGCGGCGGCGCCCGCTGCGCCGCCTGCTGCCTCTCCGCCCAGCGGCGCTGCGCCTCCTCCGCGCGGCGGCGCGTCGCCTCGACGGCCTGCTCGAGCACCGCCTCCGTCACGCGGTTGCTCGCGTCGTCCGCCGCCTTGCTGCGGCTGTCCCTGCGCCGCCGCAGCCCGGGCGACTTCTCGGACGGCGAGGGTGGCGCTCCGAACTCGTCGTGGGCGGCGGTGATGTCGGCGGTGGTGACGCGCATCACAGGCGTCGAGCGCACCGAGGGCGGCAGCGTCGAGATTGCGCACGGCACCACGCGGCAAGTGACGAGGAGGTGGCGCTCCTCGACGAGGAGGGTGTGCCTACGGGGCATGTCCAGAGGCCGTCGCGAGCTGCCGCCGGACGTGCGCCGGCCGGCCCTCCTCGCCGGAAGTGGACGCGCAGGTTGGGCAGGTTGGTCTTTTGGATGTCGTTGCCCTCGGTGCCGCCGAGGCGGTAGTTGCGGCCGATCCACGCCGCCTTGACGCACGGCTCGAAGGAGGACTGCAGCACCGAGTTGCGCGCGATCTCGGCGAGGTCGCACGAGGAGAGGCGCCACACCTGCGGGAAGTCCTTGGGTCAGCTGCCCCGTCTCGGCGGGGAGGCACGAGGCGCAGCCGGCCGCGACGGCGCAGCCCTCCTCCAGAGCAGATCTCGGGAGCAGATCTCGGGAGCCGATCTCGGGAGCCGATCTCGGGAGCAGATCTCGGGAGCAGATCTCGGGAGCAGATCTCGGGAGCAGATCTCGGGAGCAGATCTCGGGAGCAGATCTCGGGAGCAGATCTCGGGAGCAGATCTCGCGCCTGCCGCGCGACGCAGTACTCCTCCATGAGCGGCTCCTTGGTGTGGTGGAACCTGCACCATCAACCCATAGTCGGTCGACTGACGGTGACGATGCCGCCCCTCGGTGGATGGGTGGGTGGGACAGGAGCGGGTCGTCACACTTCTCTTCTCTTCTCTTCTCTTCTCTTCTCTGCTCTTCTCACATGAGCGGGTCGTCCGTCGAGAGCGAGACGTTGAGCCCGCGCGCGAAGAACTCCTGGAACGGGTTCTTGGAGAGGCGGAGGAAGAGCGCGTTGTTGGAGAGGGGCGAGAGCGCGAGCCCGATCTGGCACAGGTAGTACAGGTAGGTGAGCGACGGCGTCTTGCGCAGGTTGATGCCGTGGTTGATGCCGCGCGCGGTGAGGAAGGTGATGTGGAGGTGGTTGAGGTCGCCCGCCTCGCCCGCGTGCGGCCGGAAGCAAAAGGTGGAGAGGCCCTTGGTGCGGCGCAGCTGGTTGAGGGTGTACAGGTTGGCGTACACAAAGTAGCAGTAGTACGAGTAGTGCGGGTTTGCGGCGAACCAGTTCTCGGGCAGCGGCGCGGGCGAGTCGTGCGTGGGGAGGGGGCCCTCTGGCTTGGACTCGTCGTCGACCAGGTCGAAGGCGACCTGGGGCGGCGGGACGGAGGGACGCGTCGGGGACGCGCGCCCTGGTTGCGTGTCGCGTCGCCGCGCGGGGAGGCACCGTCTGCTGCAGCATCAGGTGCAGCTTCGGGTGGCTCTCCGGGTTGACGGAGACCTCGAAGAGCGGGACGAAGAGGTTCTCGAGGAAGGCCTTGAAGTTGGGCAGCATCCCCTTCGCGTGGTACATGCCGTACAGCCGCGGCACCTGCACACGGCCGGCGGCAGAGAGGGAGGCGTCGGGGGGGCGTGCCGCGGCGCGCGCCCGGTAGAACCAGCGGCAATCTCGGGCTATCTCGGGCAACCTCGGGCAACCTCGGGGGGCCTGGCGACTGGATGACCCGGCGGCTGTTGCACCTCGGCTACATCTCGGCTATGCTCTGGCTGGGACACTAGGTCCGGGGCCCCTCTGTACACGCGAGCGCCTGGATGACCCACCGGTTGTTGTTCGAGTAGAGCGCGTGGTCGACGATCCACTCGGCGAGCGAGTCCCACTCGGACCTGCAGGGAAGGTTAGGGTTAGGGTTAGGGTTAGGGTTAGGGTTAGGGTTAGGGTTAGGCGAGTCCCACTCGGACCTGCAGGGAAGGGGCTCCGAGATGGCTCAGGGCGTGAGGAGGGGAGAGAGCGTGTGCCCCGCTCGCACCGCTCGCGGCCGTAGATGGAGATGCGGTACCTGTTCACAGATGGAGGGTGTGAAGAGACGCCGTTCACGGTAGTGCGCGTGGATGGAGATGCGGTACTCTGTGTTTTGGTACTTTGACTCTTTGAGGTCGTCGAAGAGCTCGCGGGTGACCTCGGCGAAGTAGCGGCCCTTGAGGTGGTTGTCCGTCTTGAGGAAGATGTTGCGCAGGTTGGAGGCGCCTGGGGGAGAGAGCTCTGGCACTTGAGAGAGCTCTGGCACTTGAGAGAGCTCTGGGACTTGCTCCTCCGAACGAAACTCAGGCGACGAAACTCAGGCGACGTCTTCGGCGGGGAGAGGGCGGGTGGCGCGGGGGCGGGGCGTGTGCTTGAGGTCTACCTCGGCTAGATCTCGGCTGCATCGCGGCTCTCTCTCTCGCGCCGAGCGGGTTGTACTTGAGGTTGAACTTGTCGAAGCGGCAAAAGGTGGACGTGTCGGCGTGCATGCCGAGTGCGTCGAGGTTGAGGTCGTGCGGCGTGGTGCCCATCTGCTCGAAGACGTTTTGCAGCGTGACCGGCTTGCCGTCCGCCGAGTGCGTCACCACCTCGTGCGGCGCGACGCGGCACTTCTTCTTGATGAAGCGGAGCAGGTGCCTACGGCGACGCGCGCGCGCAGCCTCACGGACGCGTCCCGGGACGTCCTCTCCTCGCGGGCGGAGGCGCTTCTGGTTCATCGCTGCGGCGAGGTGGATGTGCGTGTCCACCTGCGGGGTGCGTGGGGTGGCCGGGTCGCGCGGCCGGGGGTGCGGAGGGGCCGGTGCGGAACTCTGCGGAAGGTTCCTAGAAGGTTCCTAGACAGGGCGGCTCAGTGCGGGAGATCGACGCGACGGGCTCGGAGCGGGGCGGCGCCTTGCGGATGTTGTAAAAGTCGCGGTGCGGCACCTGCAACAGACGACTCACCCGTCAACAGTGGTGAACAAGTCATAGTGCCGCGTCGCGGTGCGGCGCTGCGCCTTGCGCTGCTCTGTCGTCTCGCGCTGCTCGTGCTCCATCACCTGCGGTGCAGGGGCGGGAGGCGGGTCGCGCCTGGCCGAGGAGGCGCCGCCGCACGTCGCTGCGGCGCACGTGAAGGTGGAAGCGCGACTCGAGCCGCTGCAGCCGCCGCCACGCGAACGAGTTCACGGCCGGGTCGGCGCAGATCCGCATCAGCAGCGCGAGGTCGGCAGTGTACTTGGAGAAGGAGGGCGGCGGCTCGAAGGCGCAGTCGTCGGGGTTGCGACCGCCGAGCGGCGGCTCCGAGTCCGCGCTCCAGACGAGCATCACGCCGCCGTGCCTACGGAACGCCCGCTCGCGTCATGGACAGCTTGCTGGCGCTCGGCGAGGCGGTGCCGCCGGCGTGCATCTTGAAGTCAAAGCGCTTGGAGTTGACCGGCGTCGGCGGCGTGAACGGGTCGTAGCCGGGCGAGCCGTCCTCGGAGCAGGGGACGAGCCCGTCGTCGGTCAGCCTCCGGTCCACCCCCAGCTGCCACTCGTCGCGCTCCACCGGCTGCCGGTACTTGTCCCGGAGCGCGACCGCCTGCCGGAGCTTGGCGCACACGCGCGAGACCTCCTCGTCGTGCAGCTCGCGCTGCTGCTCGGCCATGGTCTCCCACATGGTGTCTGGCGGCACCAGCGGCCCGTTGTCGGGCAGCGAGAGCGGCGGCGCGGGCTTGTGCCTCGGCGCCTCTTCTTGCGGGCTCGGAGAGACAAGACCGCTGGTCGACGTGGCGGCGGGCAAAGCGATAGGGCGCGGAGGCGGAGCCGGCGAGCTGGCCGCGCGGCCGAGCGGGCTGCGATTGGCGGCGGGCGCCCCGGCGATGGACTGCATTCCGGATCGACGACGCGGACGGAAAGGCCGGCGGTGGGCTGCGCCTCGCGCCCACCTGTCGAGAAAAGAATTCGAGAAACGAATTTAAACAAGCGTCTCTCTCACAGCACACAGGCTCGACACAGGTGCGAACTGGCGCGTGCTAGTACTATCACCGGCACTGAGAAAAGAATTTTCACAAGAGAAAAGAATTTATGCAGCAAGGCGCTCTCACAGAAAAGAATTTTGGAATCGCCCCCGCCGTCGCCGCCCCCACCCTCCCCACCACCGCCATCTCCACCCCCGCCTTCCCCGCCCCCGCCATCACCACCACCGCCCAGCCCACCGCCACCCTCTCCGCCACCTCCGAGTCCACCGCCTCCCAGCCCTCCACCGCCCTCGCCGCCCCCTCCGTCGCCGCCGCCGCCCTCGCCGCCGCCGCCCTCCCCGCCGCCGCCCTCACCGCCGCCGCCGTCACCGCCGCCTCCATCACCCCCGCCCCCCTCGCCACCGCCGCCGTCACCACCTCCACCCTCGCCGCCACCCCCCTCTCCGCCACCCCCCTCGCCGCCGCCTCCCTCGCGGCCGCCGCCCTCCCCCCCT